TACCGTTCATTAAGCAACAATCCTCATTGTACCGTCCATTAAGCAACAATCATAATTGCACCGTTCATTAAGCAACAATCCTAACTGTACCGTTCATTAAGCAACAATCCTAACTGTACCGTTCATTAAGAACAATCCTAACTGTACCGTTCATTAACAATCCTCGTTGTACCGTCCATTAAGCAACAATCATAATTGCACCGTTCATTAAGCAACAATCCTAACTGTACCGTTCATCAAGCAATCCTCACAGTACTGTTCATTAAGCAACATTATTATTATTATTATAATCAAGGGGGAAGCGCTAAACCCGGAGGATTATACAGCGCCTGGGGGGGGGGGGATGTGGAAGGCATTCAGGCTTAATTCGGGGAACTGGAGCACAGATCCAATTCCCTAAATCAAGAGCCCCTCACCAACATCAAGGAACCTTCCTTGAGGGGCATTAAGCAACAATCCTCACAATACTGCTCCTTAAACAACAATCCTCACAGTACAGTTCATTAAACAATATTCACAGTACTGTTCATTAATCAGTAATCCTCACAGTACTGTTCATTAATCAGTAATCCTCACTAGTTAGGCAAGGACCGTAACGAAGCAGGAAGTCTCTCCTGACGCAGGTCTTGCATGATGACCCACCATTGGAGCTTTTGACCATCTGACCGAGGCCTTCCACTGGCTTACCAATCCACCCCTCTAAAATTTATGGTTATAAAGAGCCATTTAATCCTCACTGTACTGTTCATTAAGCAATACTCTCGGTGTTCTGTTCATTAGGCATTAATCTATACCGTTTCATTAAGCAATAATCCTTACTGCACCGTTCATAGGGATTACTCAGCCTGTTTCAAAATGTTCTCATATTTATATTATTATAATAATCAAAGAAAGAACTAAACTGAAAATGGTCATACAGCATCTCATATTTATATTATTTTTAGGTTATAATAATTGGATTAAAATGTATTTATGTGTTATTATAATTTTCAGGAAGTGATATACCCATTATGGTCATATAGCACAAAAGAATGAGGTAACCAGGCATGTTAGATACCATGTTAGATAGTATGTCCATTAAAACCACTTATCTCCACAAGTGGTTGTTGGAAATATAAACACATATCCAGTATAATGTAAACCTTTATTGACAACGTTTCACCCACACAGTGGGCTTTTTCAAGTCACAAACAGATCTACCTGGGTGGAAGGTATCCTAGTATTTATAGTCAGGTTCAGAATGCTGTGGTCAGGTGCAGAATGCTGCATCTGATGATCTACAGAGTGGGGTTATAGAGTCTAAAATCTTAGGTAGCTTGGAAGGAAGATTGGATAAGTTTGTGAGCAGACCTTCTGCAGTGTTCCTCCATTCCTATGTTCTTATGTGGGATAATGATGAAGAAGTTTCTTGGCAAGTGGTTCAGCCTGTTATAGAAGCCATTGTTCTGGTTGAATTTGTCAGATATAGAGATAAGCGATGATTCCAGGATTCTTCGGTATTGAGTGTTGTCTTCTCTGGCGATAAGTCTTGAGTTTCTATAGTTTATCAAGTGGTTGTGTGAATTACGGTGTTGTACACAGGCATTTCTTGTATCGTCAGACCTGCTTGCGTATTGGTGTTCTGAAATACATGTTTGGAGGTCTCTTGATGTTTCGCCCATGTATAATTTGCTGCAGTCATTACAAGGGATTATGTATACCCCTGCAGCGGATGGAAGCTTGTCCTGTCTATTACTGGTAATGTCCTTGATGGTCATGGTTGTGGTGGTAGATACTTGGAATGAGGTATTGGAAAAGATGTTGGAAACATGTTTGTTAATGGAGTTGGTGGGGAGGACTATGTATCTCTTCTCGGCAGTGTCTTCTTTAAGTGTGTTGAAGATGTTTAATGCCCTTCGTCTGCAGTCTCTGATGAAGTGATGAGGATAGTGAAGTTTGGAAAATACTTGTTCAGTTATAGTGCATTCTTTTTCAAGGAACTCATTGCTGCAGATTCTGAGTGCATGCAGGAAAAAGCCTATAATTACACTACGTTTAGTTTTGGTGTTGTGGTGAGAGTAGAAGTGGAGAAGATCGTTTTGGTTGGTGGGTTTTCGATAGACTTTAAAACGAAGGTCATGGTCAGCTTTGCAGAGAAGAACATCAAGGAAAGGAAGAGTGTTGTCGACTTCTTCTTCAAGTGTGAACTGGATTGAGGGCTCGACCTAGCTGAGCTTGTCTTGGAGAGCTTGAATGTTGAAGTGTCTGGGAGTTATGAGGAGAATGTCGTCAACATAACGGAGCCAGGTGACAGACGAAGGAATAATGTTGGAGAAACGCTCAGCTTCCAGATGTTCCATGTATAGGTTCGCCAGGACGGCACTGAGTGGCGAACCCATGGGTAGTCCAAAAGTCTGCTGAAAGAGGTGATTTTCGAAAGAGAAACACGTAAAGCCAACACATAGTTCAAGTCTATCGAAAACCCACCAACCAAAACGATCTTCTCCACTTCTACTCTCACCACAACACCAAAACTAAATGTGGAGTAATTAAAGGCTTTTTCCGCATGCACTCAAAAATTGCACAATGAGTTCCCTTTGAGGAAGAATGCACTATAATTGAACAGTATTTTCCAAACTTCACTATCCTCATCACTATCGGGAACGCAACAAAGGGCTTTAAAAAATTTTAAAAACGCCCCAAAAAGCCCTCCCGGGAAAAGGGAATACATAGCCCCCCACATCAGAATAGACAGGACAAACTCCATCCTCTGCAGGGTATACTAACCCTTTGTAATGACTGCACAAATATAAGGGGCAAAACATCAAGAGATTCCAAACGTATTTCAGAAAAACCAATAGTAAGCGGGTCTAAATACAAAAAAAATGCCTTGACAACACCGAATTTCAACAACCATTTAATTAATACAAAATCAAGACTTTCGCCAAGAAACAACATAAATACCAAGAACCCGGGAATCACGCTTATTTTATATCCGACAACTCAACCAAACAATGGCTCTATAACATACCCGAACCACTTCCCAAAGAAACTTCTTCACGCTATCCCCTAAAAACATAGGAATGGAGGAACACTGCAAAGGTCTGCTCACAAACTATCCAATCCCCCTTCCAGCTCCCCAAAATTTTTTGACTCAAACCCCCGCTTGGTAATCATCAATGCGATTCTCCCCCTGCCCAAACATTCAAACCCTGACTAAAAAAACCACTACCTTCCCCCCCAGGCAGATCTTTTTGTGATGGAAAAAGCCCACTGTGGGGCAAAAACTTTGTAAATAAAGGATCCATTATACTGCATATGTGTTTAGTTTCCATTGGTGGGTATTTTTTCCCATTTATTTCCACAAGTTTTTTTTAATGACTACTGTTAAGTATAGCAAAGAACTTTTATGAAGTTTTTTTCAGGAAAACCAAAGGGGGCGCCCCATTTTTTGAGGTCATTTGAGCAAAATGTGGAGCTCTGGTAAAAATTTTAAAATTAAAACAAATTAAGTGCAAACCCCCAAAGGGGTCTAATTTCTTGTGCTTCTGGCAAAACAGGACTGAAGAAATGTAAAGTTTTCTTCTTTTTTTGGGGCCCCCCTGCCTTTGGGGGGAACGCCTGTTTTAAAAAATTATTTTGTTATTATTGTGAAAGGTTAAAACCCTTTTGGATTTTACAGCATTCGGAAATGGAGAGCAATCAGGGGTTTAAACCAAGGGAAAAAAAAGAGGATCAAATTTGCGTAGCTTTACTCTACGCACTCAGCTCACACATTGAGGCCGAGGATCAATCCCCCTAGGGTTTTAACATTAGGGCAATTTCCATAAAAACACCTCTGCCTGTTCACCAATCAGTAAAGGGTACCTGGGTTTTAGTCAACTGGTTTAGGGAACCCTGGGGCAAAAATGATCTAACTTTTCCCGAAATCTCTGCAAGAACGCTTTTATGTTAATAGTAGGCCATTGATGTCAACAGGCTGTATAATTTTACAGGGCTACTTGTAAAAAAAGATAATATTATTAAATCATTTTTACATTCTTATGATGTAAACCGTAGGGGTTTTAATTTTGGGGTTGAGTTTTTCTAAAAAACAGCTTAGGATTCGGATGTTTTAAGTTTTCTGCTTTTTATTTGAAAAATATTGTTTTAAATGTAATTTGTATTTTATTCCAACATTACCGGATGGGTACATTGACCCACCACCATATTCAGCACATTTGCAGGCAACGTACTGCCCGTTGCTTTTTGGGCACAACCTTGGGGGAGGTTCTGTCAAGGCTTTTTTGGAGCCCCATAATTTACAGAGGGGGGCCCACCTTTATTTTGCTCATCAAAAATCCCAAATACAAAACCCCTGGCAGTGTCACTACAGAGTTATAAGAAGCGACTAACCACGAGACAATGCTGAGGAAACTGCCAACCTTTTTTTAAGTGAAAAATGAACATGAAAAAAAACTTTCCCTGAAATATGACACCAAGATTCTTTACCCAAACTTTTTCAAGATGAGTACATTTTGTACAAGAGTGAGCATAGACAAATTGTGCACTACGTTGTGAAATATGTTAGCAACAATGTCCCTACATCCTAAAAAAGTACACTCACAAATAGAAAAGCAAAAAACTAAAACAGGGATATTCTTCAAATCTGTTTGTCAAGAAGTACACAAAAAATCCTGAAAGAGAACATAAAAAATCTTGCGTTCTTCAATCCATCTGCATCTTTATTTATTGATGACTATTTAAACTCTGCCCGGGGAAATTTTCTCGAGCAAAAGATCATAAATTGCCAAGAAAATTTGTTCCGAGTCAATGAAGATTAATTTCAATTCCAATTGTTTTTAAATGGGCCAAAAACTCCTGTTTTGCTCTCAATTGCTGCAATGTTTCAAAAAAGAAATTCCCTTTAAATTACCCAAAAGTTGCAGTAGAGAAAATTTCACTAATCTGAATTTTATGCACAAATTTACCACTGGAACAAGTTAATGCATTAATTTTACCAAGAATGAGGTTTGATCTTCATGCTCAAATTCAACCAAGATGCTTTGTTTTTATTTAAAAATCTTTCAAAAAAAATTCTTTGTGAGTTGACATTAAACTCAATGTGTGATGATAATACATTAAGCCTACTATCACAGCTTTCTCTCCAAGAACTCAATATTATGAGTTGTACAGCAAAGGAGGAAAGCATTATCAAAGGACTTTGTGGATTACCATTGTGCACAGCTCATGACGTGCTGAACTCAGTTGCTCATGGTGATTTTCGGTTACACAAATTATCCCCTTTAAGAAAATCTCTATGTAGATTTTCTATTTCTGTCCGCGTTGTACAAAACTTGGTGTACCATGCAATCTTGTTTATATTCCCTAATTTGCATAAGTATAATCCCCACATCAATATAATTCAATGTATTCAACACTATGCAAAGGCTTGCCAGTACCTCACCACATGCAACTCATGTTATAATCTACCCACTCTGAAGCTAGAAAGAATAAACATGGGCCGTGTCAGCAAAAATGAGATACTAGAAATAAGTGAAGTCTGTCCAAATGTCAGAGAAATATCAGTAATTGTTGAGCTCAACTGCAGGGAAACACTGTGTGCACTACAAATATGTAAACTACTTACTCACATTGAACTTGCTTATTACCCATCTTTTTCTTCATCTATTCCAAAAATAAATGGAGAAGAACTCATCCCCATCATCAAGAAATTTAAGCAACAGATACAACATTTAAGTCTCACTGGCTTTAACATTAACAGTACAGTGCTACATGAGTTATCTCAGTTACCAGTGTTAAAATCATTGGAACTTCACAACTCTTGGTTGTCAAACCAACAAACTTGCCCTCAGAAACCTTTTCCATGTCTTGAAAATCTCACTCTGCAGTTTCTTCCTCCTCAATACACAATGCAGCTCTTTACTGCTAGCTCAAATTTAGTCAAATTAAGCTTTGACAATATTGCTTCTGACTGGGAGGGAAATTACCTCACAGATGCACATATAAAACACCTAGTAACTTCAGGAATGATCAGTTCGGTTCAGTCATTTTCAGCATCTTCCCCCTTCCTGACCCTTTCCTCTATCAAGTTTTTGTCATTTCTTCCATTTTTGAGAAACATTAGTCATGTTGCCCACTGGGGTTTAACACTAGAAGAATTAAGCTGTCTAAATCACTGTAACCCATCTCGGGTACAATGTATACCTTGACTCAATGCATTCTAGTTCTAAAAGGTCAATAAACTGTACATTTTAATAGTTTTCTTATGAATGAATTAAACAATGAATGCAGAAAAGTGGTGATGAGAATAAGTGAAGTATTATACATAAAAAGATTAGAGGATAGAGTGAAGGAAAGGCTTATGAAGGAATTAAATGTACAGTGGACCCCCGGTTAACGATTTTAATCCGTGCAAGAGGGCTCATCGTTATGCGAAATAATCGTTATGCGAATGAATTTTCCCCATAAGAAATAATGGAAATCAAATTAATCCGTGCAAGACGCCCAAAAGTATGAAAAAATTTTTTTTTTACCACATGAAATGTTAATTTTAATACACACAAACTGAAAAAAGGCATGCACAATTAAATGACACTTACTTTTATTGAAGATCTGGTGATGATTGATTTGGGATGGGAGGAGGGGAGAGCATTATCTTCTTACTGTTTAGAAGGGGAATCCCCTTCCATTACGACTTGAGGTAGCAAGTCCTTTTCCGGGGTTACTTCCCTTCTTCTTTTAATGCCACTAGGACCAGCTTGAGAGTCACTGGACCTCTGTCGCACAACAAATCTGTCCATAGAGCTCTGTACCTCCCGTTCCTTTACGATTTGTCTAAAATGGGCCACAACATTGTCATTGAAATAGTCACCAGCACGGCTTGCAACAGCTGTGTCAGGGTGATTTTCATCTATAAAGGTTTGCAGTTCAACCCACTGTGCACACATTTCCTTAATCTTTGAAGTAGGCACAATGGATTCCACAACTGGCATAGGCTTCTCAGGGTTAGCCCCAAACCCTTCAAAATCTTCTTAATTTCCATACTAATTCTCACCCTTTTTACCACAGGGTTGGCACTAGAAGCTTTCTTGGGGCCCATGGTCACTTATTTTCCAGAAACAGCACCGAAAACACTGTAATAATACGAAATATTCCGAGTGTATGCTTGGATGTTACCGCGGAGGCTGGCTGGTAAACAATGGGACGGCCGGCACATGTGAGGCTGGCTGAGGGCACATTGGACGCGTCTCGGACGAAAATCGGTAAGCGGGTTTTTAATCGGTATGCGCGGCAAAAATTTTGCGATAAAAGTAATCGGTATGCGGAAAAATCGCTATGTGATGCCATCGTTATGCGGGGGTCCACTGTACGTATTTAGATTCTTGGCAGTGGATGTATCAACAGATGAGTCTATAAGGAATGAGGTAAATAACAGAACAGATGAGGGGATAGAAAAGTGCTGAATATTGAGAATCTGTGCTAGTAAAGATAGTTACCACTTTTGTTTGGTTGTGAAACAATGTAACAAAATTTTTGAGTCTGATATCAATTATGGTATTTGTGCCTGGGGATCAACCACAGCCAACCACCTTAAACCTTTAATAGCCCAACAAGAAGTTGCAGTGCGGATGATTACCAGCTCCATTACCATTGGGCCCGTAGATCTGAAATTCACTACCTGAACTGGTAAAGGATCCCCTGACTGCTTACTAATTTAGGACTTTGCTTAAAAATCATCTCATCTCTCAATACTAACCAAACCAACCAAAACAACTTCTAATCAGTTATTATATGACCTCTAGTTTATTAAACATCTGCCAATCTATGAAATATTACTGCCTGAACCATTAATTATAATAGTTTTTATCATGGGCAACTTCAAAGATTATTATTCTTATCAACCTCCACCTTGACTACCTCACATTAGTATTAAGATTAAATAATGATTTTAATAAAAGTTAACCACTCTTATCTTGTCTAGATTTAAGTTGTTATTACATATTAGGATTAGTCTGCTCAAAATGCCCCAGCATGATAGTGGCTTTCTTTGTAATTAGCAAACCAAAATTGTAATTACACATTCTAACCTTTATTCTTTAATGTGGTGTGCATATTATGATGAGAGTAAGGAATAAATTGTAAATCAGTGTGCTGTTATGAAAGATATTCAATACTGTATTGCAAGAGTTGATTATTATTATTATTATTATTATAATCAAAAAGAAGCGCTAAGCCACAAGGGCTATACAGCGCAAGAGCTGATGAGGGCTTTGAAAATGGGATGGTTGTAAAGAAAGAATTGTGAAAGATGGGTTAAAAAAATTATATAAATCTGGGGTGGAGGAAGATGCAATAAGGAATGTTTGATGAATGGCTGGAAACAGAGCTTTGAAACAGTTTGGCAGGGTAGGGGTCATCTAAGAAAGGATGGAGGAAGTAAAGGAGGTTTAGTGGAAAAGGGGTTTGGACATGCAGCAGGCATATACGAGCATGTTAGCTAGGAGTGGAGAAAATGGCTTTTGGGACCTGACAAGCTGTTAAAGTGTGAACAAGGTGAGGGGATTCGGGAAAACTGGTTAGCAGACTTGAGTCCTAAAGGTGGAAAGTGCCTGCACTTTGAAGAGGTTTGAGATATTTGCTGTTTGGAGGAACATCTGAATGGTTGTATCTGTCCACCTCTGGCAAGACAGTGACATTGTGAGTATTGTTTTCTGCAGCCCATTTAAAGACTTGGTTAATGTCCGCTTGGAGATTTGCAGTGTCCTTGATGGACAACACTGTCATGCAAATTCTGGTATCATCAGCAAGGGAGGACACGGTGCTGTGGCTTACATCTCTGTCTGTATCAGATATGAGGATATGTGGAACAGAGCTTTTCACTGTGGCCACCTCTGACTTTACTCTGTTTACTAATACTCTTTGTGTTCTATTTGTTAGAAAGTTATAGATCTATCTACCAACTTTTCCTGTTATTCCTTTATCACACATTTTGTGTGCTATTACACCACGATCACTTGCCGCAGGCTTCTGCAGTCTGTGTATACTACATCTTCATTATGCTTGTTTTCCAGTGCATCCAGGACCATGTCTTAGTGATCCAGTAGTTGTGAGAAGTAAGAGCGACTTGCTCTAAACCCATGCTGCCCTGTGTTGTGCAACTGATGGATATCCAAGTAGTTGGCAATTTTGCTTCTTAGAACCCTTTCAAAGATTTTTATGATTTGGGACATTAGTGCTATCGGTCTGTAATTCTTTGCAGTTGCTCTACTGTCACCTTTGCGGAATAGGGCTATATCTGTTGTTTTTAGTGACTGTGGGATGACCCTTGTGTCCATGCTCCCTCTCCATAGAATATTTAAGACACATGAAAGGGGTTTCTTGCAGCTCTTGATAAACACAGAGTTCCATGAGTCTGTGCCTGGGCAGAGTGCATGGGCATTTCATTTATCGTATTTTCAAAGCCCTGTGGTGTTAGGACTGTATCAGAAATTCTTGAATTAACCAAATTTTTAGTCTTGGTCATAAAAAAAATCATTTAGAATATCGACCCTTAGATTGATTAACAGCTCACTAATGCTGAGTCATACTGGGACTTTAGTATCTCACTTATTTCTTTGCTGTTATCTGGGTAAGTCCCATCTCATTTTTGCAGGGGCCCAATACTGGATGCTCTAGAGGTTTTTTTTTCCATTTATGGCTGTGTTTCTTGGATCCTGTATGATTCCTTAAGCTTAAGTTTGATATTTTCTATTTCTCTGGCCAGTGCTTCCTTCCTTATTTCAGATACATTGGTCCCTTGCAGCAGCTCTGTGATTCTTTGCCTTTGCCTATAGAGGGAGCATCTCTCTCTTTCTAGTATACATCATCTCTTCTTTTTTCTTAGGGAAATGTGCCTTGAGCATACCTCAAGTGCCACAAAGTTCATTCTTTCTAGGCAAAGGTTCAGATCTGCGTTGTTTAGGATATCTTCCCAGCCTGTTTCATTTAAGACTGTGTTTCTATTATCAAAGTTGAATTTGGTGAAAGCACCCTTATAAATGATCGCATTTTGAAGGTCAGGAGCCTTGTATATACATGTCTGTACTTCTGTTATGTTGTGATTTGAGTGTATTGTCTTTAGTACTCTTATATTTCATCCCAGATCATTATTAGTGAAGATAAGGTCAAGTGTATTTTCCTGTCATATTGACTCCATTGTTTGCTGGCTTAAGGTGAATTTGATGCAGATAGTTAATAGCTCAAATGTGTCCGAATTTTCATCTGATGCAATTAAACAAATGCTCGAACCGCTATATGCAGTGCTTGAAAAAATTAATATCCTCTGTGGCTCTTCATAGACCTGCAGAAAGCATTTGATACAGTGGACCACAATATCTCCTCCTTCAACTAGAACACTATGGTGTCAGAGGACATACTCTGAATAACTAAAATCTTACCTTAGCAATAGTCACCACTGTGTCTCCACAAACAGTGTAACTTTGACTACTCAGCCTGTAGCCGTGAAGTGCCACAGGGTAATTAATGTCCTTGGCCCTCTGCTCTTTTTCGTGTACATCAGTGATCTTCCCACCACATCTCATCTCCTTAAACCAGTTCTATTCACAGATGACACTACTTATGACTCCTCGCATTCAAACACGGCTATGCTTAGTGACACTGTTAATGATGAGCTACTAAAAATTTCTACATAGATGATGACCAACAAACTCACTCTCAATATGGACAAAACATACTACATGCTGTTTGGAAACAGAGCCTTAAATATCCAACTTATCATACTGTGCAATGGTTCCCCCATTACAGACACACTGAGGGCAAATTTTTAGGTCATCTTGACTGCAACCTTAAACTTCAGATCCACATCCAACATAGCCAAGAAGGTCTCCAAAACACTAGGCATACTTTCTAAAATACTGTACTATGTACCCTAAATGGCACTACTTGCACTATACCACTCTCTAACCTACCCTTATCTCACCTATGGTATTTGTACTTGGGGATCTACTATGACCAATCACCTTAAACCATTAATAACCCAACAAAAAGCTGATGGGCAGATGATCAACTAATGTGATAGACAACACACCCCTCCACTCTTCAAGAGTTTGAACTTACTTAATGTACAAAATATACACTCATATTACTGTGCCTACTATATATATATAAAACATTAAACCCAAATATAAACCCTCCTCTCAAACTTCTACTTGATAGCTACAACAGAACACACAGGCACAACACAATGCATAAAATTCTCTTTGGCATCCCTCATGTCCATCTCACCCTATGCAAAAATGCAATGCACATAAAGGGCCCCAAGATCTGGGATTCATTGCCCAAACCAGCAAAAGGTCCCCTGTCTGCCAATCAATCTAGGCACCCACAAACTAAAAAAACTAGGGATATTGTCCTAACTAAACCGAATGAAGCCCAACAACAGCCTATTGATACAGTTAGCAAGATAAATGACTTTTTTTCAACCACAGGATCAGATCTCGCCAGTAATATCCCAGGTACCAACACCCGAGCAAGCAATTACTTAGATAGGAATTTCTCAACCTCCTATCTTGCACCAACCGAGCCCACAGAAATCACTAGGATTATTAAATCACTTAAAAGTAAATCAGGAAATCTGGCTCAACTTCGTCTATTATTGTACAAATGAGCGGCTCATGTTCTCTCACCTGTTATTTCATTACTCTTTAACAAATCACTAGAAACCGGTACTTTCCCAGCACTACTCAATATACAAAGGTGGTGACCCCACAGATGTAAACAACTACAGGCCAATTTCAAACTTACCATTGCTATCCAAAATCTTCAAGAAACTTATACACAAGAGATTATATTCCTTTATAACAGTGCAAAGCATCGTCAACCCCTGCCAATTTGGCTTCATAAAAAACAAGAGCACAACCGACACAATTGTGAAAATGCTAGACCTGCTTTACACTGCACTTGAAAAAATGAATTTCCATTAGGACTCTTTATCGACCTACGGAAAGCATTTGATACAGTAGACCACAGCATCTTACTCCACAAACTTGAGCATTATGGCATAAGAGGCCATGCACTTACATATTTTAAATCCTACCTAACAAACAGGCAGCAATATGTCTCTATTAAGGACACAACCTCCTCAATAAGACCACTGGATATTGGAGTACCACAGGAAAGTGTTCTTGGTCCCTTGCTCTTCCTCTTATACATCAATGATCTACCTACTGTTTCACAACACCTTAAGCCTATTCTCTTTGCTGACAATACGACGTATGTCATCTCCCACCCTAATCTTGCCTTGCTTAACACTATTGTTAATGAAGAACTACAGGTCTCCCTCAACATTCGCGAGGGTTAGGGGATCAAGAACCTCGCGAATGTTGAAAAATCGCAAATGTTTGGTGCCCCAATATATTGTAGGGAAATATAATACAATACTGCTTCCTTAACCTATTGAACCATGAACAATCATAAAATACATGAAAACATCATAAAATATTATACTACAGGTTTAATAACATGTATGTTATTAAATAACACTGCCTCAACTACTGCCTCAACCACTGCCTCTACCACTGCCTCAACCACTGTGGCGCACTGCCTCGTATTTTTGTACAATTTCTTTTTTCAAGTCTGTCGTGTTTCTCAATTTCTTTACCAAAGGGCTGGCACTAGCAAGTTGCTTTGGGCCCATGGTTAATTGTGTAGCAGTTGCACTCAATCTACAAGCACCAAACACAATGAATTATTGTGAAATGTTTGGAAGAGTGCAGAGGCTAATGCTCACTCCAGCATAAACAAAGCCACACTGACTTATGATGCCTCAACCACTGCCTCCACCACTGCTTCAACCCTCATATTATTGTACAATTTCCTTCTTCAATTCTATCATATTATTATTATTATTATTATTATTTTTATTAGTAGCAGTAGCAGAAATGTTCAAGTCTTTGCCATGTTCAAGAGTAAACAAATGATGTCACCATCCAATACCTGTCTGAATGCCCATTCCAATATGCAGTCATGAATGGGTTGATATTATTTATACTGTAGTTTAATAGCAAATAATGAACAAACAAAACACTCACCACACTGAGCGAGTGGCAGGCGGGCTGGCCGCCAGTTGCGGGGGTCGGAGGGAGGGTAGTAGGGACATGTGGGTGGCGGGAAACTTAAATATGATTTGGCAGCTGGGAATTCGCAAATGTGTGAAGCCTGCAAAAGTTGAAAATGCGAATGTTGAGGGAGACCTGTAGTAAAAATATTGACCTGGATGACTGCTAATAAACTTACACTTAATTCGTACTGACAAAACCTTCTACATTCTGTTTGGGAACAGAACAGGTGCTGACCAGCTCAACATAATGATCAACAACACTCCTATTGCTAGACATAATAAGGGCAAATTCCTGGGTCTGCACCTTGACAGCAACCTGAAATTCAACACCCATATCCAACAAATATAAAAAAAAGTATCCAAAACAGTTGGGATCCTCTCCAAGATACATTACTACGTACCACAATCAGCCTTACTCACACTATACTATTCAGTCATCTATCCCTACCTCACCTATGCTATTTGTGCATGGGGATCAACAACAGTAACTCACCTAAAGCCAATAATAACCCAACAGAAAGCCGCAGTAAGAATTATCACACAATCCGGTGCAAGACAGCACACACCCCAACTCTTCAAAGACCTAAACCTACTCACCGTACAGAACATTCACACCTACTATTGTGCAATATACATTTACAGAACCATAATCTCTAATTTTAACCCGGAACTAAAACAATTTATTGATAGTTGCAACAGGACCCCATAGACACAACACCAGACATAAAAATCTCTGACATTCCCCGTGTCTGGCTAAACCTATACAAAAATTTGATGTATATAAGGGGGCCTAAAATCTGGAACTTCCTGCCTGAAAATTCTAAAGCCACATACTCAATCACCATTTTCAAAACTACCATTATGAAACATCTCATCTCCCTAACACACTCCATCATCAGCTAACCAAATGAAAACCACCCAGTTCTCTTTTTTATATCATCAACATATCCAAAACTGACTCGTTATCTGTAATTCCCCCATAATTTACACCTACACCCACCCAAATGACTGTAAACATATAATCCCTAATACATGTATAGCTATTGCCTGACTCAAGAAATCGTAATGACACGATTGCAAACAAACCATACCCCCGGCCGGGATTGAACCCGTGGTCTAGCCACAAGCTAGACCAGCTAGCTTGTGGCTAGCTGGTCTAGTGGCTAACGCGACGGGCTGGAGTTTTGAGACTCTATGACCACGGGTTCAATCCTGGCCGGGGGTATGGTTTGGATAGCTATTGCCTATTAAATCTTAAGTTAGTCTTATTAAATCTTAAGTTAATCCTAAGTTTGCTAAGATACTCCTCCAGTATGACTTTTATAGAAACAATGTATCATGCCAAGACAAATCGAATCCCATTACTAAATCTACCATTTGTACTAATATTAAATGGTTTGGACTACCTTATTATTTTAAACCTATTTACATATGTACGTGTACATAACTGGGAATGTATCTAATTACGTACCTAATACAGTAGGGCCCCGCTTTATGGCACTTCACTTTATGGCATTCCGCTAATACAGTCATTTCAAATTATGACCAAAACTCTCTATACGGCTCCCCTCACCTGACTTTCTAATACAGTCACCACGCCCCACCCTGTTTTACATTCTCCGTGAGCTCCGTAAGTGCTAAGTCTCTCCATTATGTCTGGAAACTCCAAAATTTCAAGTGTTTTTAAAAGTTATTTCATATTTTATACATACAGTGGACCCTCAACTAATGACAGCAATAAGTAATGGCAATTTCATCTAACGACGCTTTTTTGCATAAAAAAAAAGTCTCTACCAACGGCAAAAAACTCTACCAACGATGTTCGTCCGGAACATGTCCATGTGCCGGGAGCACGGCCTGAGTGGGCCCAGCCACTCCAAGACTCAGTGTGCCATTGTTTACAAGCTGTTGCGGTCAGTTTCCATGTGTGCCTCCCATATATTTTGGATTATTCCACAGTTTTTAGTGCTTGTAACCACTAAATAAGCCACCATGGGCCCCAAGAAAGCTTCTAGTGCCAAGCCTGTGTTAAAAAGGATGAGAATTATGATGGAAATGAAGTAGATCATTGAAAAATACGAGAGTGGAGTCCGTATGGCTGAGTTGGAAAGGCAATACAACAAATCACATTCAACCATCAGTACTATCTTGGCAAACAGACAGGCAATCAAGGAAGCTGTTGTTGCGAAAGGTTCAAGTATGTTTTCAAAACGGAGACCGCAAATAATTGAAGAGGTAGAGAGACTTATTGGTATGGATAAACGAAAAACAATTATCAGGTGATAGTGTTTCTCAGTCTATAATTTGTGAAAAGGCAAGGAAGTTGCATGATGATCTCAGTAACACAATGCCTCAAAAGTGCTGCTGCTGATGAATTTAAGGCCAGCAAAGGCTGGTTTGAGAGATTTAAGATTCGTAGTGGCATACACAGTGTGGTAAGGCAGGGTGAGGCAGCCTGTTCAGACAAAAATGTGGCTGAAAAATATGTGAAGGACTTTAAGGAATACATAGAGACTGAAAACTTAAAACCTGAACAAGTGTTTAATTGTGATGAAACAGGCCTGTTTTGGAAGAAAATGCCAAACAGGACCGACATTACTCAGGAGGAAAAGGACATAAGCCTATGAAAGATGGGCTGACATTAATGTTGTGTAGTAATGCTAGTGATGACTACAAAGTGAAGCCTTTATTGGTGTATCACTCTGATACTTCCAGTGTTCAAGAAAAACAATATCGTCAAGGGTAATTTGTGTGTGCTGTGGAGATCAAACAGTAAGGCATGGGTCACTAGGGAATTTTTCTTGCACTGGTTTTATGGTGTGTTTGGCCCCACTGTGAAAAATTACCTCCAGGAAAAGAAATTGTTACTCAAGTGCCTCCTGGTAATGGACAATGCTCCTGCTCATCCTCACGACTTGCAAGAGGAAATTGCAGGGGAGTTTGGTTTCGTTAAGGTGAAGTTTTTGCCTCCTAATACAACTTCTCTCCTCCAGCCCATGGACCAGCAGGTCATTTCAAACTTCAAAAAACTCTACACAAAAGCAGTTTCAAAAGTGCTTTGAAGTGACCTCAGACACTCAATTGACCCTAAGAGAGTTTTGGAAAGATCACTTCAATATCCTCAGTTGTATAAACCTTATAGGTAAGGCTTGGGAGGGAGTGACTAGGAGGACTTTGAACTCTGCTTGGAGGAAACTGTGGCCAGAATGTGGAGAACAGAGGGATTTTGAAAGGTTTGGGGCTAACCCTCAGAGGCTATGCCAGTAGTGGAAGCTATTGTGTCATTGGGTAAGTCCTTGGGGTTGGAGATTTATGACGAGGATGTGGAAGAGTTGGTGCAGAACAATGAGGAAGAACTAACCACTGCAGACCTGCAAGAGCTTCAGGTGCAACAGCAACATATTACATCTCAGGAATGTTCTTCAGAGCAGGATGAAGAGAGACGGAGGAAGATGACTTCGTCAAGAATTAGGGAAATGTGTTCAATGTTTACAAAGGTGCAAGCATTTATCGATGAAATTTTATCCTGTCACAGAAGTTGCAAGCCGCATTGGCAACATGTACATTGACATTCTTGTGTCCCATTTTAGGGAAATCCTAAGGGCACGTGAGAAACAGAGCTCTCTGGACAGATATTTTGTGCGACAAGGGTCCAGTGACTCTTAAGCTGGTCCTAGTGGCATTAAAAAACCAAGAAGAGAGGTAACCCCACCACAGGACATGGTACCTGAAGTCTTTATGGAAGGGGATTCTCCTTCCAAGCAATAGACAATCCTGAATCTCCCCTGCTGCTGGCGCATCACTCATCAACAACTCCACAATAAAGGTAAGTGGCATTTAATTATTGTTTATTTTGCATGTCCCATTCGTTTTGGTGTAAGGAAATGTATATTTCATGTAAAAAAAAAAAATTCAGACTTTGGGGTGTCAGGAACGGATTAATTCTGTTTCCATTATTTCTTATGAGGAAAATTAATTTGACCAACGGCAAATTCGACTAATGGCAAGCTCTCTGGAACAGATAATAACTTACACACTGTGCTGGCGTACAGGTACACATTAAAATCAGTGGCTTATGTCTCGAGATGCAATATTAGTAATGATAATAATAATACTCAATAATAATCAATGAGTCTCATTAAATGTCATATATTACATTAATATACACATTATCATTAATCCATCTATGATATTCTTTCAAAATTATATAATAAACACGATACATAACATATAAAGATGATAAATACACCCCACAGTAGAATAAATTAACATAAATATGAGATGTGGTAGCAAGACAACTTGTACGAGTGATGCCATATTAGTAGTAATGAATATAATAATCACCAAGTCTCATTAAATGTCGTATATTACGTTAATATGTACTTTTATTAATCCATCTATGATATTTTTTCTAAATTATATAATAAACACGATACATAACATATAATGATGATAAATACACCCAACAGTAAAATAAATAAACATAAATATGAGATGTGGCAGCCAGACAACTTGTACAAGTGACGGCAAGAATGATGTTTTCTCTAGTCCAACATAAGAGAAAATGTGTTACTGAACATAAATGTAGGAAATTATTCCTTTTGTATGCCTTCACTCAGAGCGTCGTTTCTTCTAAAAATGGTGTTACATGAGAATGGGAGTGTTCCTCTTTATTTATTCTACCGTATCAATGGAGAGACAAATTGTACACAAGGTAACTTGTACACAAACCAGACATGTTCACCTGGTTTGTTTACAAAACTCGCATCCACCTGGTTTGTTTACATAACTCTGCGAGTGTCCTCTCTCATGTACTCATTCTTTCTCTCTCTCTCTCTCTCATTTTTTCATTTTATCTCATTTACTCACCTCTTACCTTACATTAAGACTACAAATATTTTAAGGTAAGTAATGAGTGAACTGTATATGCATTTTATCACTCTGGGATGCTTAAATGTCATAGAATATTGTGTGGGGGTGGGGTGGCCTGGCTGGCTACCATACATACCACACTTGATTTTTAACAATAAATACTATTCATCTCACCCTAGATTAAGACTACAAATATTTTTAAGGTAAGTAATGAGTGTACCATATGTGTATTTTTACTTTTTTATTGTTTTTTAATGCCAAGTTCTATTGCTAATTTAATATATGTTAATGTAAACTTGTTATCTAGTATTTATATGCATTTATAAGTGGAAAAAAAGGGTGTTCCAGTTTACGGCAATTTCCACTTTACGGCGGTAGCCTGGAACCTAGCCTGCCGTATAAGTGGGGCCCTACTGTAATACGTTCAAATGTACTGCTCAAATATGACCTATATCAAAATAGCATGAGAATTAGCATTAGTCTGCCCGAAGTGCCTAGACACGATAGTGGCCATCTTTGTAATTAAAATCTTATAACATGTAAATGACACATTGTAACCTTTACAAGGAAATAAATATTTGTATTTGTATTTGTATAAGTAAAAATCACCTCATCTCCCAAACTTAGATACCAACACTGTACTATGCTGGAAATCACAGAACCAGTTTGAAACTACTCAAGAAATCCCAGTTAACTTAAGAGCACTAAATTGATTTCAGTATTAATACACACTCAAAAATGTACTATTGTAAATTGTATTAATTGTATGCTAATTGTATGCAACCCCTCTACTATAAATTTTACTAATTTTAACATTTTTGCTACCCCCATTTTTGTATTAATGTATAATAAAATTCACCACTCCATAACCTGTGTCTACTTTTAAGTAGTCTGTAAGCATTAGTATTAGTCTGCCCAAAATGCTCATGCATGTTAGTGGCTTTCTTTGTTCTTAACAATATTTTACTACATGTAAACTACACATTGTATACTATGGAAAGAAAGAAATGTTTGAATTTGAACTGAATTTGAATGTGCTAAACATTATTTGCCACATTTCTCCATTTTGGGTTAAGTTGCAATCACCCAGCAGCAAGATATGTATTTGGAGCTTGGGTTGGGAGATTTTCTGGACAGTAGTCAATTTTCAAAAGCTGTTCCTTGAATTGCTGGGAAGTTGT